AGCATTGATGATGTGAGGGTGGTATGCAAGTATCCGGATGTCTTTCCAAAGGACTTACCGGGACTTCCACCCGATAGGGAGATTGAATTTGTGATCGAGGTCGAGCCTGGCACCAAACCAATCTCCATACCGCCATACCGAATGGCACCCGCAGAACTTAACGAGTTGAAAACCCAATTGCAAGAGCTTTTGGATAACGGTTTCATTAGACCAAGCCACTCCCCATGGGGAGCACCGGTCCTTTTTGTGAAGAAGAAGGATGGAACACTTCGAATGTGCATTGACTATCGTCAACTGAACAAGGTCACAATCAAGAATAGGTATCCTTTGCCTAGGATTGATGACTTGTTTGATCAACTACGAGGAGCAACTGTGTTCTCGAAGATTGACTTGAGGTCTGGGTACCACCAATTGAAGATCAAAGAGGATGACATACCGAAGAGTGCTTTCCGCACTAGGTATGGACATTTCGAGTTCCTTGTTATGTCGTTTGGGTTGACAAACGCCCCGGCGGCATTTATGGACTTGATGAACCGAGTATTTCACAAATACTTGGACCGATTCGTGATTGTGTTCATAGATGACATCTTAATCTACTCAAAGAGTGAGGAAGAGCATGAGGAGCACTTGATACTCGTTCTTGAGACACTACGGGAGAAGCAACTCTATGCCAAGTTTTCTAAATGTGAATTTTGGCTTAAGGAGATTGGCTTTCTCGGGCATGTGGTTTTGGGATCGGGAATTGCGGTGGATAACAAGAAGATAGAAGCCATTACCGAATGGGAGAGGCCAAAGAATGTCAAGGAAATTCGTAGTTTCCTTGGATTGGCAGGCTACTACAGAAAGTTCGTGGAGAAGTTCTCCGTTTTGGCATCGCCATTGACGAAGCTCACTCGAAAAGGAGCTAAGTTTGCATGGGATGACAAATGTGAGAAGGGATTCACGGAATTAAAGAAGAGATTGACCGAGGCACCGGTACTTGCCTTACCCAAACAGGGTATGGGGTACGATGTCTATAGTGATGCTAGCATCCAAGGGTTTGGATGTGTGTTAATGCAAATGGGGAGGGTAATTGCCTATGCTTCACGACAGTTGAAGAAGCATGAGGTAAATTATCCTACTCATGATTTAGAGCTCGGGGCAGTGGTGTTTGCACTCAAGATATGGAGACATTATCTCTACGGGGAGACATGCCACATATACACTGACCACAAGAGCTTGAAGTACGTGTTTACTCAGAAAGAGTTAAACATGAGGCAGAGACGGTGGATGGAGTTGATAAAAGACTACCACCTGGTAATCGAGTACCATCCAGGCAAGGCCAATGTGGTGGCAGATGCCTTGAGCCGGAAAAGCTCATCTGGGGCATTGATAGCTAACTTGAGGGCTTTAAGAGCCCAACTGGAGGTATCCAGTAATGGAGCCTTATTGGCACGATTTGAGGTGAGACCTACTTTGCTTGATGAGATCAAGAAGGGTCAGGAAACTGACGAGGAAATCATAAGGATCCGAGAACGCATGCAAGCGGGACCAGTGGAGGACTTCAGGGAAAGAGATGACGGTCTCTTATTATTTCGTGACCGAGTGTGTGTGCCGGCAGATGGGGAGCTCCGAAAGTCCATCTTAGAGGAGGCTCATTCATCGGCTTATGCCATGCACCCAGGGGGCACGAAGATGTATCGTGACTTGAAAGAAAGTTACTGGTGGTCTGGTATGAAGAGGGAAATAGCCGAGTACATCAGTCGATGCCTTACTTGTCAGCAAGTCAAGGCAGAACATCAGCATCCAGCGGGGTTATTGCAGCCACTTTCCATTCCAGAATGGAAATGGGAACACGTGACTATGGATTTCGTGGTAGGGCTACCACGGACTGTGAAGAACTATGATGCCGTATGGGTTGTGGTTGATAGGCTCACGAAGAGTGCACATTTTCTACCTATCAACACCACCTATGCACTGGAGAGGTTAGCCAAATTGTATGTGGATGAGATCGTGAGGCTACATGGGATTCCTATAACCATTGTATCCGACAGGGATCCACGATTCACATCACGATTTTGGCCGAAGTTCCAAGAGTCTATGGGGACAAGATTGAAGTTTAGCACTGCTTTTCATCCCCAGACAGATGGGCAATCCGAGAGGGTTATACAGATTTTAGAGGATATGCTGAGAGCCTGTGCATTGGAGTTCCAAGGAAGTTGGGACAACCATTTAGCACTTGTTGAGTTTGCCTATAACAATAGTTATCAGGCAAGTATCGGCATGCCTCCATACGAGGCATTGTATGGGAGGCGATGTCGTACGCCTTTGTGTTGGGACGAAGTTGGCATGGCCAAACTTGAGAGCACAGAATTGGTGGAGATCACCAAGACAAAGGTGAAGATGATTCGTGATAGGCTTAAGGCAGCCCAGGACAGACAAAAGAGCTATGCCGATAAACGCCGGAGAGCCTTAGAGTTTAAGGTGGGAGATGAGGTGTTTCTGAAAGTTTCACCTTGGAAAGGGATCATCCGTTTTCAAAGCCGAGGGAAACTTAACCCACGCTACATAGGGCCATTTGTGATCCTCGAAAGAATCGGGGCCGTAGCATACCGATTGCAGTTGACTCCAGAATTGGAGAAGATACATAACGTGTTCCACGTGTCTATGCTAAAGAAATATGTACCGGATCCGTCTCACGTGTTAGAGAAACCACCGGTGGAAATACGTGAGGATTTAAACTATGCCGTGCGACCGGTGAGAATACTTGATAGGCAAGTAAAGAAACTACGAAGCAAGAAAGTTCCTATGGTGAAAATCCTTTGGAAAAGTGACCGAGTTGAAGAAGAAACTTGGGAAACGGAAGCCTTGATGAAGGAACAGTATGCATTTCTGTTTGAATAAGCATTGTGAATTTCGGGGACGAAATTCCCGTTAAGGGGGGGTGAACTTGTGACACCGCACCCGAATGTATTTGAATTTGAAATTCGACTTGTATTTGAAATTCCTAGCAAATAAAATTCGTGGAATTTATTGGCATATTTAATTAATGTGCGATTAATTAAATTATTTATCGGGTCCATTATATGAGAACGGGCTACCAAATATTTAGCTGGGTCATCATAATAAATTATAGAAGCCCAATAAAATGCCAACCGAAGTTGATAAAAATATTTGGACAACCCGAGTGCTATTTTGACCCGACCGGCCTGAAATAGCGAGAATAATTGGGAGGGACTTCCTATACCCCATTTGGGGTTTTTCCTACAAGCTTTGTGGACTCAAAATGATGATTTGAGACAAGTAAACATGGGGAGGGGCGGACTCAATAGGAGATGGGATTGCACAAGACAAAACACCACTCCCATGACCATACTCTTCATTATTTTTTGATCTTGAGTAAGGATAGATACCTCCCCCTTCATTCTACACCATACACACAAGTCAAGGGAGAGAGAAGCATTGGGAGAAAGCTCTCACCTAGTCTGAACGTGGGAGAAGCAAGGAGCAAAGGAATCCCAAGAAGAAACTAGTTAGAAGGAAGGTAAGAACTCAAATAGTTCTTTAACTAGTATTATTTATGTATGATTTTTAAGAAATCATATGATGGATTAAACATGAAGTTCTACACGTTTAAAAGTGTAGAATAATGTTATAAAGTGGTGGTAATTAACTTAGAAGAGTCGTGGAATCGATAGGAGTTGAAATCGCCGGAAACCGCCAAGTATAGGAGGCTGTTCGTAGCTGCAGACCACGAAAGCCGCCCACCTTTCACGAAAGCCGCCCGGCTTTCGTCTGCTGCCCAGATTTTTCATCTCCAAACGGTTTAGAACGGGGATTGATCGAAGGGCTTAACAAGGACAACTATTTCAGCACTTCATAAGGTGAGGATGGCTGACTATGTTGTTTATAATCTTTGGGTTAATTTCGTAAGATTACCTAAAGTAATTAAATGTTATTTTCATGGATTATTAATGATTAATAGTGCCTAAATGAAAATATTGTTGTCAATGAATAAAGGAGCATAATATACAAATTTAAGGATAAATTGTGTATGATTATGTAATATGAGTATATTGGCTTGATGAAGGGATTAACTATGAATATTATGTTGAAATATAATTTTAACTTCATATAAGGATATATGAGTGATTAAAGATTATATTTTGTATATTGATATGAACTATATTTTCAATGGAAAATTAGTTTGAGAATTGTCTATATGACTATGAACTGAAATGAGATTTTGTTGGAATTTATCCGACTAGTATAATGATACTAGTCGGGGTTTTGGAATGAAATATGTTAGAATTGATCCAAGGTTTTGGATTGTAAATTGTTGAGCCTTAAGTAGTCTTAAGAGATACTAAGGTGGATAAGTGATGCTAGGGGTAGTCCTTAAGGGATACCCAAGATAAAGTGAATAATAAATTGATCCTAGGAATAGGATTGGCCTACGGGTGTATTCGGTAGTCTTTAAGGATTAGCCGATAGAGTATTGGTAATTAGTAAGGACCATGGCCCTTCCCGACTCTAGAGAGCGGTGTTGGATAGCATGGACTTACATCGTGATCACGGGTTAGGGTGGAATCCGAACCGGAGACCTTACGAGGCTCCCGACAGCGGTAACACATAAGATAGGACCCCGAATGGACCTTACCTTCCTACGGGACGATGGGTATGAGTTCAGGGGCGGGATGTTGGACTCCGGCCCGAGAGCCCGGTGAGGCCTCGGAGAGCGGTGACAAGTCTCGTAAAGGATGATAAGACCTACGGGCGGTGTCGTGCTAACGACGGGTATAATGAAATATATGGAATGGGCCGTGTGCCGACAAATAAATAAAGTTACTTATTATAGAGATAATAAGTGGGAAATATAAATTATTATTTATATTATGATATCACCCTATTTTGAGGGTCTTAGAAATTGAAACATTGATTATACTTGGTATAGTTGTCATTGTACTTGTCAAATGCTTCCAAGTACTGACCTCCCCTTCACGGGGGAGGCCACCTCACAGTTTCAGGTAGGGAGTAAAGCTTGCTACCATCGCCCGTTGCTTCGGGGAGTTCAGGGAGAGAAGACGTGGTTCGTGCTTCCTCCGTTCTATTTTTAAAACATTAAATCGATGCTCATGGATATTATTTTGATTAATTATTTGGGGCTTGTACGCCCATGTTGCCGAAGTGTGGCATAAACACTTGTATTAAACGTTTCCGCTGATTTAAATGATTATTTTACATTATGTTTGTTTATGGATGTACTATTGTGAATGATATTCAAGACGCCTAGTATAGTATGGATGAGTTGGACTGCGGTTGACTATTCGTACTGTACGGCGGGTTGTTGACGTGTCCGGTAGGTCCGGGGCGTGACATACCGCCTCAAGTTGACACCAGAGCTTGAGAAGATACATGACGTGTTTCATGTATCGATGCTCAAGAAGTACATACGGGACCCATCTCATATCCTTGAGAAACCGCCGGTAGAGATCCGTGAGGATTTGCAATATGCGGTAGAGCCGGTGAAGATAGTAGGTCAACAAGTGAAGAAACTTAGGAACAAGGAGATTCCTATGGTAAAGGTTCTTTGGAGGAGTGATCGAGTCGAAGAGGAAACTTGGGAGACCGAGGTCTCAATGAGGGAGCAATACCCATTCCTTTTCGATTAGACACATGGATTTCGGGGACGAAATCCCAAATAAGGGGGGGTGAACTTGTAACACCGTCCCCAAATGTATTTACTTTTACGTAAATGATGTAATAAACCTTATGGAATGATTTATGAATTTACGAAGAGGAATTTCCTTTTATGGGTAAGGTCTAGTCCCCCCATATTTTATTCTTTGGTCAGTTTGATTTCGGCTTGCTTTCTGTTTTACGCAGAGGAATGCCTCTGAAGGGAGGTTTCGGTTTGGTCCCCCTCTCTTTTGTAAATCCCCCTATTTTAATACAATAATGGCAAATGACTCCCGGCATTTGCCCCACTGATTTTGGTGGTTGACCTTCCGGGATAAAAAAAAAGATGCAGATTTGTCGCTGTTGTGCTTGGAGCGCTGCTCACTGATGACAATGCCCTTAAGTGGTCGGGACAGGTGAGCAGCCTCTTCATTGTCCGATGAGGAGTCGGAGTCTATCGGAATGGCTCTCTTTCCGGCTCTTTTCCTGTTGCTGATCAGGACTCCCTCCATGTCATCATCATCATCTGCATCATCATCCTCATCATCATTCATCTCCTTTCCCTTGGCCATGCTATCGGAGGCCTCACCACCAGCCTTATTAGAAGGGGCCTGGCTTGATGGTTCATCGGCAGTGTCCTCAGCATTGATAGGGTGGCCCTCGGCAGTCTGGGTCCTCTCGGAAGAGTTAGCAGACTGATCATCATTAGGCCGGACTGCCACTGGTTTCTGTGGCTTGGGGGCACTCTTCTTTTTACCCTCACTTGCTCTCGGCTTAGTTCCCGGGGAAGGTCCAGCTGGGTTTTGCTGAACCATGGGAACCGTTCTCTTCAACGACTCTTTGTAGTCAATGACTGCCTTATCCCTCGGGTTTGCTAGATCAAGCAGTGAGTCTGGGATAGGCAGTGCTTCAGCCTTATTGCTGTCTCTCTGAAAGTACTTGAGCTTAGGCGCAGTGAAGTGCTTGTCTTCCTTACGCTTAGGGATTGTAGGGGTGGCTTCCATCATATTGTGGATCATCAGCGCGAGCCACCGAGCGTAGGGAATAGTGCTTCCCTTGTTGTTCTCCTTCATCTTCACTTGATCCATCAGCTCCGTCCAGAAGAGCTGAGCCATGTCATATTTGATGTTGAAGGCGATCCCGTGGAAGATTTGGAGAATTTGTTTGTTGCATTTGTCATGTCCGGCGTGCTTAGGAGATAGGCACTTGTTCACCAGGCCGAACAGACTCTTCCACGGATGGGGCAGGTTTGAGATGGTGAAGTTTGAGATCAGGGGTAATGGCCCTTCATACCCCAGCTTCTTCATATCTGTGATCAGATCTTCATTGGAGGGAAGCGGTGCATAGTTTTGGAGCACCGGAAGATTCAGAGTCTCCCTTATTGTGGAGGGTGTCAGCACCGCTCTTACATCATTCAGCTTGGTCATGATCTTAGACCGATCTTTCTTGCTCTCAGTTCGCATGCAGCCCCAGAATTGCTGCAGGTATACCATTGGTACTGGTTTGGCTTCGTTGAAGGCAGTCCAAAGGAAATGCTTCTGTAGGATTGAGAGAATGACTGGGTCCTGACATTTGAAGAGCTTCAGGTCCAATTGAAAGTTGTTGTCATAAAGTGGGACCCAGTTCTCTTTTGGGTACAGTTCATTGCTTGTTTGTGTGTTCTTGGCTGTTCCTGACATGATTAGCTGAAGACATTGGGTCAGCACATTGTTCAAATGAAAAGTTTTATTTTTTGTTCTGTTTTTGCAATTTTTCAGATCAGGTGTGCACAGGTGGGACATCGAAATTATTCTAAGGGTAAACCACGAGAACCAACTTCTCGAGGTTTGAACATCGAGAAGTAGGTTCTCGAGGTTTAAATACCGAGAAGCTCTTCTCGATACTCAAATATCGAGAACTTGGTTCTCGATATGGAAGTATCGAAAAGTCCTTCTCGAGATTTAAACATCGAGAACCATCTTCTCGAGGTTTAGTATCGAGAACCTCTTCTCGGTATTTCCAATTTCGAGAAGTAGATTCTCGGTATTAAACATCGAAAAGACTCTTTTCGAGGTTTAATATCGAGAACCGAACCTCGAATTTTGAAATATCGAGAAATTGATCTCGAGTTCTAAACATCGAGAAAGTGAATTTCTCGAGTTCGTACTCAGAGAAATGTTCGAGAACCACCTGCAAAAACATATATAAAAACTTTTCGATGTTCAGTTTATCAGTTCGAGAAAGAGGGTTCTCGAGGTCCAATAACGAGAAATTCCTTTCAGGTTTTGATTCGAGAACCGGTGCATTTTTGTGCGAAAATCATATGAAAGTTATTTTTGATGCTCGAGAACTTGAAATACCACCTTTTGGATGGATTCGAGAAGTTTTGAGATGTGAAGATCAGTTTGCGAGAAGGATGCTGGACTTCGAGAACTTAAGATGCGAGAAAATGAGATTTATGCGAGAAACTGTTCTCGAAGTCTCCTTTTATATGCGAAAAGTTGGAACTTGGGCCTTGTGAAAAGTAATTTGGGCCCAAATGTCAAGAGCGGGCCCAGTTCAGAGAATTTTAAAATTTTGGGCCCCTAGCGAGAATTTATTAAAAAAAAAACTCTCTCAGATCAAAACTCCCCCTCGAAACGTGCATGAGAAAAAAATGAAAAACACACACACACTCTTTTTCTCTCTTTTCTGATTTTCTACACACACACACACTCTCTTTTTCTCTCTTTTCTGATTTTTACACACACACGCACACACACTCTTTTTCTGATTTTCTTCATTTACTCCCCTCAAAGTATTCTTCCCTCTTTTATTTTCTCCCCTTTTCTCCCCCTCAACACATGCAACGCACACCACACACACACACTTTTTATTCAGACCATGGAGATAACACAATTACATTGGATCGAAGTTCAACATGCCTAACTTAGATACTAGGAACTGGAATCTCTTTTCATCCAATGCCTTAGTAAATATGTCAGCCAGTTGAAGCTCGGTGCTAACAAAGTACAAATCAACATCTCCCTTCTCCACATGGTCCTTGATGAAGTGATAGCGCAGGTCGATGTGTTTGGTGCGCGAGTGATGAACGGTGTTGCTGGTTATGGCGATTGCACTCTGGGAGTCACTGTAGATGGGAATATGGTTGAATAGGAAGCCATAGTCTCTGAGTTGTGTCCTCATCCATAGGATTTGTGAACAGCAACTAGCAGCCGCAACGTATTCTGCCTCGGCTGTAGAAGTTGACACGCAGTTCTGCTTCTTGGAGGACCAACAGACTAGCTTCTCTCCCAGAAATTGAGCACCACCGGATGTACTTTTTCTGTCTAACTTGCAACCTGCAAAATCAGCATCTGAGTAACCAATGAGGTCAAAACCCGTGTCCTTGGGATACCAAAGTCCTAAGTTGACTGTTCCTTTCAGGTATCTCAGAATTCTCTTTACTGCATTCAGATGTGATTCCTTTGGATTTGCTTGAAAGCGAGCACACAGGCAGGTTGCGAAGACAATATCAGGTCTACTAGATGTCAGGTACAGCAAGGAACCAATGATCGCCCTATAATTGGTAGCATCGACTGATATCCCGGAAGGGTCAGAGTCGAGCTTTTGTGAGGGAGACATGGGGGTTTTCATGGTTGACTTGCTGTCCATCTTGAACCTTTTGAGCATTTCATGGATGTACTTCGATTGGCTGATGAAAATTCCGTCTGGCAATTGCTTGATTTGTAGCCTTAGAAAGAAGTTCAACTCTCCCATCATACTCATTTCAAACTCAGTGCGCATCAAATTGCTGAATTCTTCGCAGAAGTTCGGATTGGACGAGGCGAATATGATGTCATCGACATAGATTTGTATCAGCATGATGTCACTGTTCTCTCGCTTGATGAAAAGAGTTAGATCTATCTTTCCCTTCGAGTAGCCTGATTGCACAAGAAAATCAGATAGTGCATCATACCAGGCTCTCGGTGCCTGTTTTAGTCCGTACAGAGCTTTCTTCAGCTTGTAGACATAATGTGGGAGTTCAGGATCAACAAAGCCTTCTAGTTGTGCTATGAACACTTCTTCTTTCAGCTCGCCATTTAGAAACGCAGTCTTTACATCCATTTGATAGACGGTGAAACTCTTATGAGCAACATAAGCAAGGAACAACCTGATTGCTTCAATTCTAGCCACTGGTGCAAAGGTTTCATCATAGTCAATTCCTTCTTGTTGATTGTATCCTTTTGCAACCAGTCGGGCTTTGTTCCTTATAATTACACCGTCTTCATCCTTCTTGTTCTTGAAAACCCACTTGGTGCCAATTATTGTTTTCTTTGGGGGTCTTGGCACCAGGGTCCATACATCTAATCTTTCAAACTGATTGATCTCCTCCTGCATTGCTATCACCCAATCAGGATCTGCTAGAGCTTCAGAAACTTTGGTTGGCTCAGATTGGCTGATGAAGCAAGAGAAGAGACATTCATTTGCTGTAGCCGTTCTTGTGCAAACTCCACGACTCGGATCTCCAATAATTTGTTCTGCAAGATGTGCCTTCGTCCATTTCCGCTCATGAGTTAGAGGGTTTGGAGTTATGATGGGGTGATCCGGGTCCTCAAAGGTAGTAGATGTGGTTTGTTGAGGAGTGGAGTGCACAGGGGTCGATTCAGGTTCTGTATTTGCTTGAGCTGGTAATTCTGAAACTTGTGCTGGTGAAGTTGCTTGTGTTGCTGCCGTGCCATGATCCTCAGTATCCTCTTGATCAGATGTAGGAGGTGAATCAGCTTCTTCTTCACTGAGGTCATGCATGAATGGTGGTTGTGCACCTTCTATTGGTAACCGTGGGTTGGCAATACGTGCATTTTCATAAAAATGTTCAAATAGAGAGTCAAGAATTGCACTGTCAGCCGTTGTTTGCTTTGTTGCTTCAGCTTGTGACACCGCACCCGAATGTCCTTGGAGATTTGATTTAAATATTCAAAGTTTATGTATTGGATTTCTGATTCCCAAACAATTGTAAAACGATTAATGTTTTACGTAATTAATGATCGAATATTGTACTGTTCGAACTCGTATATTAGTGTCGGACACACAGATACTATTTGGGACTTATTAATAGATAAAGGAGCCCAACATTTTCTAAATAGTAATATATGACCTTTCAAGACAAATTGAGGAAGGTCGGGCGGCCCAAACATTATTTTGGGCCCAACCTGCTAAAAATAGCAAGTATTCGAGAATGGCGTTCTAGACCCACTCGGGAGTGACCCACACGGCTAGTAGCCCAATAATATGTATGACAAATG